ACAACTTGGTAGGCTTCAGGTGGTGGCTTGACTAACGGTATTCATCTAGGCTTGACCTCCAAGATGCTCACCTATCCATACATATACCAAAACAGTGAGCTAAAGCCTAGTGAATAACAAATGCGTAAAGAAGTTATGGACGAAGACATTAAAATCAACCAGTTATGGTAGCAAGTCTGTTCACATAGCAGTATCATGTTTGTTAAATACAAGAGAGGCACTCAAAACAACTTGGTAGGCTTCAGGTGGTGGCTTGACTAACGGTATTCATCTAGGCTTGACCTCCAAGATGCTCACCTATCCATACATATACCAAAACAGTGAGCTAAAGCCCAGTGAATAACAAATGCGTAAAGAAATTATGGACGAAGACATTAAAATCAACCAGTTATGGTAGCAAGTCCGTTCACATAGCAGTATCATGTTTGTTAAATACAAGCATAGCAACCATAAGGGCCACATGTATATGTAGCGGTCTTTAAGATCATAGTTGGTATAGACGTTCATATAAACCAATATCTTGTATACATAAAGCCATGGTATTATTACCCCCAGGTGAGGGCCACATGAACATATTCCACGGTATTCTTACCCCCGGGTAAGGGCAATATGAACATATACTGCAGTATTATTACCCCCGGGTAAGGGCCATGTGAACATCCACAACGGTATTGTTACCCCCAGGTAAGGGCCACGTGCACATATACCGCGGTATTGTTACCCCTGGGTAAGGGACACGTGCACATATACCACGGTATTGTTACCCCCGGGTAAGGGCCACGTGAACATATTGCATGAGTTCATTTATTCAATAAATCATATCAAAGCAGTCCTTAACAATGATAGTCAGAAAGAAATATAACTTAAATATAACTTTACAACATCGTTACCTGCAGTACTTGGTCGGATGATCCACCTTAACGGTTCAATCTGTAGAAATACAACCAAGCACAACAAAACACATTTTCCTTTAATTCATTCAATCGGTTCATTCGTTACATATTCGATAAAGTGTTTCTATTCTTTCTTTAATTTCTTTTATGCTCATGTAATGCATATGGATGTATATGACACATAAAAACTATGTAAATAAAGGCCCAGAAGTCAGAAAATGAAAAGGAAACAAAATCGGAAAAGTTGCCCTGTTGGGTCGCTCGTGCGGTGACCTTGGTTGCACGAGCAGTGGTTAAGCAAAAGGCAACTTTGGGCGACCAAGGCTTTGCCGCTCGAACCGGGGCCCAGGCCACTCGAGCGGTCTGGGTTGAAAAACTGTTCGAACATGGTTCATTCACTTCGAACTCCCCATTTTCTAAATCCAAGCTCCATTCCATACCCTTCAAAGCCGAAAACTCATAAAAACATGTTGAAATACACATCATTAACTTTCAACAAAACTCATAACTTCTTGACAAATCCAATTTCTACTTAAAAGATCAAAACATTTAACTTAAGGTACAAAATCATAGAATAACCATATTTGAGTTCCAAGCTTCAAAATCTATGGAGAAATTCCTTAGGAATCTTGCAAGCAAACAAGTTTTAAACATGAATTTCATGATATAATGCCATATATACAAAGATTCAACATCTTTTTGATTTATAAAACACAATACATGCAAGTGATCATATATAGTCCATGAAACACACTCTTTTACGCTTACTCTTCAAGGTTTAAGAGATCAAACCTTACCTAGAGTCTTCATAGACACTTGATCTTGCATAATCTTGACAAATTCAAGCCAAATCTTGAGTTTCTTCTTTGATTCCTACACTTTCCTTCTTCTCTTTGAACTCTCTCTCTCTCTCTCTCACACACACAAATTTTTGTTTCTCTTTTTAATGGATAACTTTGAGCTCAATGTATCACATATATATCTATATATATGACTAAACTAATAAGGGTTGCCCAAAGACTACTTAGCGAATTAGACGGAAATCAATTTTCAATTAAACTTTCCAAATGGTTCCAAATATTCTGATTAGGCTATCCATGTGCTTAATTTCGATTTCTGAACCCACTAAGGTCGTCAATTTCAGTTCCGAAGTCATAACCCCAACAGATATTTCCCCAATTCAGACATATATTTCCAAATTAACTCATATTACTTCATAATAACATAAAGGTACTGTTGCCATGTATTTTGGGGCCATTACACCTCCATTGTTGGTAAATAAAAATTCTGATTAATTGAGATTCAAATGATACTAAAAGGGACGGTTGGGTTTTAATTAATTAGTTTATTTTATTTATTTTGTGACAAGTATAAGTGTGACTAGTGGGAGTGTCGGCTAAAATGAAGGCGTAATCTTACATGTTCATGCTATGTAACTAAACAATGGTTTGCACTTAGACAAATATTATATGGTAACCAAAAGGTGTCATATGAGTTGATTTGGAGGCCAAAAGAAAAATTGGGAGTCATAAATCAATTTAATTTTTTTTTCCTAAAAGAAAAAGAAAAATGATAACATGCGATGATATTATGATGGGTTGTAGCTACCCACCCATTCAAGGTATGTTCATTTATTTCAATTTTTTTTTTTTGTACATACAGGATTGTTTTGCCAACGCTCACTATGAATGTTTTAAATATAAGTGTCATATTTGTGGGGCTATAAATTGTTTATGATTGTTTGAATAATAATTCTAGTGAGCATTACAACAGTAGATTCAAAATCCCGCATCCTATGGTTTTATATACAATGCAATACTTACATTCTTTTGACACATGTTTTTATTTTTTTTATTTTTAAATTTTTAACATATGTAGTTCAAAATGACCAACTTTAATCCTTTGTCCAAAATTCCTGATGATAATCACTTGACTAGATCAAACTATGTGGACTGGAAGAGAAATTTAACAATTGTCCTCACTGCTGAAAAACTGCACCATGTCCTAACCATTGATTCACCCGTGCTTCCTGAGGAAGATGCCATTGATGAACAACGTGAGGCTGCTAGGAGGTGGCATGAGGCAGATGATGTTGCAAAATGCTACATATTGGTCTCAATGACCAATGTATTGCAAAAGCAGCATAAGGGTGTTCCTACTGCAAAAGACATGATGGTTAACTTGAAAGAAATGTTTGGAAAACAGAGCAGAAGTGCATGCCAAACAGCCATGAAAGGTTTGATGTCCACCAAAATGGTGGAAGGTACTCCAGTACGGGAACATGTTCTAAAAATGATATCTTTCATTAACATACTAGAAACTTTGGATGCAAATATTGAAGGTGAAACTAAAATTGATGTGATACTTTCATCTTTACCAGATTCTTATAATCAGTTTATTTTGAATTACAATATGAATAAGATGATTGTTGCACCATCAAAGCTGCTCAATATGTTGCAAGCAGTAGAGAATCTTATTAAAAAGAGCCAACCTGCTGTGATGATGGGTGAGAAGGAAGGTCCTAGAAAATTCAAGCCAAAGGGCAAGAATAATTTTAATAAGAAACCTATGGGCTCCAAGTTCTTTGGAAAAACACTAGGTGTTTTTAAAAAGAGCATAGATAAGAAGAAAAACAAAGGAAATTGTTTCCATTGCGGAAAGCCTGGCCATTGGAAGAGAAACTGCCGTCATTATTTGGCAACACTGAAAAAAGACAAACCTTCAGAAGGTATGTAAAATCTGTTTGTTATTAAAACGAATTTATTGATTGGTCCTCCTAATGCTTGCTGCGTAGACTCTGGTGTGACCTTACACATTTGCAATATGTTGCAGGGGTTCAAGGAGACCAAAAGGCTTAATGAAGGGGAGATGCTTATAAAGTTGGGAACAAATGCAACAGTTGCTACAGTTTCCATAAGAATATTTTATTTGGAATTATCATTTAACAGGACTATAGTTTTAGAAGATTGTCTATTTGTTCCAAACATCCATAGAAATTTAATTTATGTTTCAAAGTTAATTTCGTTGGGATATTGTTTTTCCTTTTCTTCAAAAGTTGTTATTAAGCACAATAATAAATTTGTGGTTTCTGACAATTTAATAGATGGTCTTTACTTTATTAGTCCTATTGATAATTCAGTTAATTGTGTTGAGAATGATACATCCACCGGTACGTTACCCCTTAAAAGAAAAAGGGATGTTAATCAAACTTACAAGTGGCACTTGAAACTTGGTCATATCAATTTAGAACGTCTAAATAGATTGGTCAAGGATGGGCCTTTAGATTTTTTGAAAATTGAGCCTTATCCAATTTGTGAGCCCTGCTTGCAAGGGAAAATGTCTAAAATTCCATTTCTGGGAAAAGGAATTAAAGCCAGAAAAGCTTTGGGATTAATACACACGGATGTTTGTGGTCCAATAAATCACATGGCAAGAGGTGGTTTTTACTATTTCATTACATTCACCGATGATTATTCTAGGTATGGTTATTTGTACCTAATAAAACATAAGTCTGAATCCTTTGAAAAGTTCAAGGAATTTCGTAATAAAGTAGAAAAGCAACTTGGAAAAAGCATCAAAGCTCTTCGATTAGATCGTGGGGGAGAATGATTTTTGAACTTATTTAAAGGAGAATGGTATCATATCTCAATTAATCCCCATGGGCACACCACAAAATAATGGCGTGGCAGAAAGAAGAAACATAACCTTATTAGATATGGTTCGTTTAATGATGAGCATGTCAGAACTGCCAATTTCCTTTTGGGGATTTGCATTAGAAATTGCTATTTATTTGTTAAATAGAGTTCCTACTAAATCAATTCCTAAAACTCCATATGAATTATGGACTGGAAAAAAAGTCTAGTCTAAAGCATATTAGGATATGGGGTTGTCTAGCACATGTGAAAAAGCAAAATGTTGATAAATTGGAATTGAGAACTAATAGATGCATTTTCCTTGGATATACTAAGACGGCATTTGGTTATTGTTTTTATAATCCTAAAGAATAAAAAATTATTGTTAGCAGAAATGATATTTTTTTATAAGAGAATTATGTTTTCAAAGAAAATAAAAACAAGAATTGTTCTTGAAGAAGTAACTGACAATTCAATGGATGTGGCACATAGTCAAAGTGAAGGACAAATAAGTAAGCCCACTGAACTAATTGTTGCACAAGAATCTCGGCATGGTAAAAGGATCATTAGACCTCCAATTAAGTTATCTCTGTTAAATGAGATTTATCAGATGGAATCAGAGTTGTCTAATGATGATCCATTTACATACGAAGAGGCAAATAATGACAAAGATGCCAGGCATTGGCAAAAAGCTATGGAATCTGAGATTGACTCAATGTATTCTAATAAGGTTTGGACCTTAGTAGATAAACCTGAGGATATTAAGCCCATAGGTTACAAATGGGCATATAAAAGAAAATTAGGACCCAATAGAAAGGTAGAGACCTACAAAACAAGACTAGTGGCAAAAGGATATAACCAAAAGGCTGGTATCGATTATGAAGAAACTTTTTCGCCAGTAGCCATGCTAAAGTCCATAAGGATTCTTTTGTCAATTGCTGCACACTATGATTTGAAATTTGGCAAATGGATGTTAAAACTGTATTTTTGAATGGCTATATTCTAGAAAAATTTATATGCACCAATCAAAAGGTTTTATATCTCATGGTGCAGAAAATAAAGTGTGCAAATTAATGAGGTCCATTTATGGTCTCAAGCAAGCATCTCAGAGTTGGATTATTCGTTTTGACAAGGCAATCAAATCGTTTGGTTTTTTGAAAAATATGGATGAACCTTGTGTTTACAAAAAGGTCAGTGGGAGTGCCAAAGTATTTTTGGTTCTCTATGTTGATGACATACTACTCATTGGGAATGATGTAGGAGTAATGTCATCAGTCAAAGTATGGTTATCTAATCACTTCGCAATGAAAGACCTTGGTGAAGCTAGTTATATACTCGGGATCAAATTTTTTAGAAACCGAAAGAAAAGATTACTTGGGCTCTCACAAGTCAATTATATTGACAAAGTCCTGGCAAGATTTAGCATGCAAGATTCCAAAAAAAAAAAGCTCTTACCCTTTAGGCATGGAATTCATCTCTCTAAGGAAATAGCACCAAAAACACAAGAGGAGAGAGAGAGAAAATGATAAATATTCCTTATGCTTCGGTAGTGGGAAGTCTCATGTATGCAATGCTTTGCACTAGGCCTGACATTTGTTATGCAGTGAGCGCTGTGAGTAGATACCAATCCAATCAGGGTCCAGAGCATTAGACAACAGTGAAACACATTTTGAAATATTACAAAAGGACTAAACACTATTTCCTAGTGTTTGGTAGTGAAAATTTGGTTGTTGAAGTTTACACCGATTCAGATTTTCAATCTGATATCGATGATAGAAAATCAACTTCTGGTTTTGTGTTCACTCTTGGAAAGGAAACAATAAGTTGGAGAAGTTGCAAGCAAGATACTACTGCAGATTCTACAACTGAAGCAGAGTAAGTGGTTGCAAGTAAAGCTGCAAAGGAAACTGTTTGGATTTGCAAGTTCATTCAAGAACTAGGTGTTGTCCCAACACTTGAATCTCCTATAATTGTTTATTGTGATAATACCGGTGCTATTGCACATGTTATTGAGCCTAGGGCTCATTGAAGGACAAAGTATATTGAGCGTAGATTTCTCATGATACGTGATATCATTCATAGAGGAGATATGTTTATAGCAAAGATTGCATCAACTGAAAATGTTACAGATCCTTTCATACAACCTTAACTCAAAAGGTTTTTGAAAAGCAGTTGGAGATAATGGGTATTAAATACATGTGTAATTGGTTTTGAGTGCAAGTGGGAGAATGTTAGTATTTGTGCCCTCAAAAAACCAATTTGTTGACTTTTTTGACTGGTTAAATAAATTGCATGGCATTTTATTTTGCACTTTGTATATTATTATTTTGGGCAATGTTATATTTAATGTTACATATGATGTGAACATAAGGTTCCTTGGATAACATTGTAGAAAAACATGCTAATGGTTAATGAACCAAAAGCTGAGAGTTATGATTTTTCGGTGCCTTGTAGACCCAATTAATGTTCTAGGTCATGCGTGTTGATTGGGCGTCACACTACTATGGCCTACACCTGTTTTGCTGCTTTATGATAGAATGATTAACTCTATCATTGAGGTAGTGACCTTAGGCAAATAGGTGGGTGCTATGCAATAAGTACATGCACTGAACATGATAAGTTTTGAGAACACCTATGGAATGATCATTGTTAGTTTAAAAGATAGTTATATTACAATGCACTTATTTTCCTTTGACCTGAGAGGCTTGTATAAATTAAGTAACTATTCATTTAACTTTGATATTGTCAATCGGTGATGCCAAACCAAAGGCTATTCACGGACAAGTTGGGTTATGTGAGTGGTAATTGATTTATATAGGTGCTTAACATGGAATCCACCATTCTCAAAGTGAGAAAGTATATTCAAGCAATTTGTTGGACCAAAAGAAAACCGGCCGGTAACTTTTTCATAATTTTTTTTTATACATATATAATTACAAAAGTACTATTTTTGAAAAATGCTTTTGGGGTCCAATTAGAAGAAGGAAAAATTTAGAATTCGGTTACAAGAGTTGGGATTTTCGATAGTGATAAATTTGTCCATACCTAATAGCTCATGTGGAATATAGTTTGGTGGAAGGAAGTTTGTTACTAATTGTAAGAAAGGGCCTCACTTGTAATTCTATACTTTTAGGGGTTTAATTGTAATGTGTTGATGGACATTATTGCAATTAGTGGAAGTTTTATATTATCTATTTAAAAGATAATTAATGAAAAATTAGATAAGTTGTATCTTGTATATTTAAGATAAAAGATACATATTTTATTTTATCCCCACAACTAAAAGATAGAGATCTCTAAGGATCCCACCTACATGCAAACTCTATCATGTGTTGTGTACATATATTAGATGTATTTGATACAAAAATTGGTCATCATAATTTTTAAGGTCTGTAGAAAATATATACACAAAAATAAATCAAAGAGGGTGTAAGGTGAATCACTTTGGAGGCGAGACACTTGGATCGCTTGGTGAGGTATTGTCAACAACACGCTTGGATTGAGGTATTTTAGATTGTGTAATCAGGTGGTGTTTTCTAAAAAAGTGTTTTTCAAAATAAATTATTTTTTGCACAAACTTTCAGACAGCCTTGCGTTATGTTTGGATCTTAGAATTGAACATGAATTTGGAAACAGAGAAAAAAAAAATGTGGGTGAAATGTGAATAAAGATAATTACATTTCATCTATATTTTTTCTTTTACTTTCCAAATTTCTATCTAAATTCATGATCCAAATACAGTCTTAATCGTAATAAGTTTTGAACTTTAATTAATTGTAAAACTTGCCGTGCATACTGAATTTGTAGTAGTTTTGAACTGCGAAGTTGGTCTTCTTCACCAAGATTTGCCAAGGCACCAAATGCAGTGTCACTAAGCGAAAAAATTATTTCATTAAGAATTGCCTTTCCCAAATGAGACCTTTTGTTCTTAATCTTGAAATGATTTGTGGTAGTAGACATACGATGTGTTACCACCACTCTCACTGGCTTGCCTGAGCATGACGGGTTTGATGTACATTTCACCTAGTAATGGACAACTTTTATATGAATTTCTTTCCTTAATTGAAAATTGAAAGAATAAACATAATTGAAAACTACATAGACACAAATCGACATATGAGTAAATTCAATAGTTCAGTCCCAAATTCTAATTTTACAAAATTAAAGCGACAAGAGAGTGAAAGATATTGAAAATTTTGCATCGCAAATAGATTTTTTTAGAGCACAAAAAAACAGGTTCACCTCTACAAGAGGAAATGGCATTGGAGGTGGGAAACAAAAGGAAATAGAGAAATAAGGGGAAAAAAAATATATATTTATGCTCCAATTTTAGCCTCTCATACTACTTGTATTGGGTTACAAGAAGAAGAAGAAGGAAAAAAAAAAGAAAGAAAGATGTTTAAAGTAAAATAATAATATTTTTGCTTAATAAAAATGTCTACTTGGCAAAATAACAAACACACAATTAAATTGAAAAAATATCCAATATAAAAATAAGGAAAAAAAACTTCAAAGAGGTAAATTGAAAACATTTTAGAAAAAAAAAGTTTAATAAGAAAAATTATTTGATAGTTTTGGAGGAAGTCAGTATGGTGTCCCAACATTATTTTTATTAATTAAAGCAGTAGGATTTAACACTTTTATATTGCTTTTAAGGAGACAACATAACAAATAGTATCAGATAAATGACGCAAAATATTACTCTAAAACTACCAAATAATATCTCAATAATAACTCTGCCAAATCTTTGTACAATATCTTGCTTTAAGATTGATATTGTTGCTATGGTTGGCTTAAGCCTGGATGAGGTCTAAAGCAAAATGTTAATGGAAGGCTTTCATTAAAATAATATTTGACATAGGTAAGCTCATAAAGGATATAGCCCACTACTGAAGGCCCAATACATAATTCAAATACTAAAGCCCAATGTTGCTGGAGCTCAACGTGGCATTAAGAACCAATGACATTTAAACACGTGGCAAGAGAAGGACAAGCCACATAAGCACACAAAGATCTTGCAAAGTTATTGCACTGCACATCAGCCATTAATGGGATTCCTTACAGCATTTATTGCGATAACCCCTCCTCGTCGGGACAGAATGACCTCACCATGAACAAGGCAAGCTAGAGCATAGACTTTCGGCCAAGGTGACAGGTCGGAAGGGGCAACGAAATGATTATCAAAGGATATAAGTAGGCATCGAAGACAAGAAAAAGGTTAAGCTTTCTATCACTAAACTATCTCTACATTCCATCTCTCTTTCTAACTTGCTCGTCAGAGGGTTCGTTGGCTGACTCCCCGTTCCCCGTTGAACTCTTGTGCATGTTTCTCTGTGGGCTTGGTACCTTGGACATTGGTTTGGGAAGCATGGATTAGTCCGACCCGTTCCATTTGGAACACGTTGTAATATCAGTTGGCGCCGTCTGTGGGAATCCTTTTGCTCCGCGCGCCAGTTATGCTCATTGTCGCCGGAGACCCTTTCCCAATAACCCTTTCCTGCCACCCACCAAGGTGGATGGTCACAACTAGATCCATGGCTTCTCACCACAATGTTGCTGACCACCAAGCTGACCCTCCCAATCCAAACAACTCGCTGCAGTATTTCACCGAGCTCACAAACAGCATTAACCGCCTGGCCGAGTAAAACCAAGCCCTAATTAATGCTCTACTCCAAAGGAACCTTCCTATGCCTCCTCCACCACCTCCAGATATCCCACCTAACCAAGAACGAGCCCCGAGCCATACTATCCAGTAGCCCCATCCACCCAACTTGGAAGGCTTGCGACCCCCTCCCCCAGATATGAACCGCCACCCCGGGTCCCACCTCCATCGGTCCAGGCACCCACCCCTGAGGGAGAGGCCAGTAGTGTCCAGCCCCACTGCATTCTGGGGGTGACAACATTCCTCTCTGGGACGCGGAACTCCGAGCCATAAAGCTCTAACTCCAAGGAGTCATGTAGAACATACAACATAAACCATCTACCACAGCC